AGATAGATAGATAGATAGATAGATAGATAGATAGATAGATAGATAGATAGATAGATAGATAGATAGATAGATAGATAAGCTAAAACCATAAATGGAATGCAATCCATCAAACAGCATTAACAAAAATTAGTCCCAGCCATTCTCTGCAACATTGATCTGGTATCTACTGAGTTGGTTATTTTTAAAGGGTAGTTCTAGCCATTAACAAATTGTCTGATCTGGAGATAGAAAGGTATGGAAGTACCATAGTACAGATGAGCCCTGAAAGACTCTTGGATGAAGAAAAAAATTGTCATGCAAAACCTATCTGTCAATTATTTCTGAAATATAGGCAATTAGATTTTTGAACTATTTTTTTTTAGACATATGTTTATTTTAACAATGACAAACCTACAATTCAAAAGTCAGAAAACCTATTTTTAATACATAAATACCCAGCATCGGTGATAAAGAATAACAGAGTTGTAAGGGACTTTGGAAGTCTTCTAGTCCAACTCCCTGCTCTGGTAGGAAACCTATACCATTTCAGACAAATAATTTTCCCGTATCTTTTAAAAACCCTCTACTGTTGGAGTATCCACAACTTCTGGATGCAAATCATTCCACTGATCACTTGTTCTAACTTAGTTCTAGGTTTGTTCTCTCGATACATTTCCATTCTTCTAATTCTGCCAAACATCTGGACAGAGTTATTTCGATGTAATACCACGACTCTGTTTTTTCTAACCCAGGGGATAATTGGTAACAAAAAATGCTTACATACCGTAATTTGAACTGGGATCGCACCTCACCATGTTCTATTTGAATCAGTTCATTGTAACAAGCAATGATGCTGTTATTCTCCAAAAATCTCTGGGAAATACGAAAACAAAAAGTAGATGTCACTGGTCATAATAATTTATTTCCACAATAATCTTTCTACTGATGAGTTAACCAACAAATACCTTTAGCTTGCAAAACACCAGACTCAAGAGAATGCAATTCTAAAAGGCAAACAATATAGGGGAAGCATGTAGATATTGGCTTCTGATTTCCCCCCAATCCTTAATAAATAGCAGTGCTTTGAGCCAGATGACCCAGAACAATATTTGGAGATGTGACCCAGTTGTATCTCCATAGCAAAGCATCTGGGGATTGTTGGTTTGTTTGTTTGTTTATTGGATTTATATGCCGCCCTTCTCCAAAAGGACTCAGGGCGGCGCACAACATTAAAAAAAAACAACCCACATATTACAAAAGTTAAAAAGGAAATTANTTAAAACATCCATGGCAAATCCTCTCCAGTAAAGGAGAATACACATCACAGTGATTTCATTCATATTCAGATTGTAATAAAAATTACATTAAAGAATGCAAAAGCATTGGGTAATTATCACCTACGTTTCCTCTTTTGATGGATGTGTTGATTGTATCCAACAAATCTGCATGGTTTCTGTCACTTTTTGGAAGCTCTGTAAGTTCTTTCCCTATTAATTCTCCTTTTTGATAGCCCATCATCTGTTCAAAGGCTGGGTTAACATACTGTAAAAAAAAATGAAATGAAGTTTGTAAGAAAGTTTAAAATCAATTTTTGAAAAATTTCATATTCTGTTTGCACAATCCCAGTGTGGGGAACCTCCAATGCAAATACCTAAATAGAAAGGCTTTGCTTTGTATTCCCTCAGTGCAAATGCAACAATAGAAAAAAATTCCAAAATAACATCTAAACAGAATTTATACCCATGTGCAAAAGTGGGGATTCTTTCCTTTATTAGTTTAAAGTGACATTGATAAACAATTTTTCTAAGGAGAGTTGTCCATACCTGAATAATATGATCTTCACTAGTTATTTCTATTGCTTCATGACAGTGTTCTAGTGCAGTGAATACCGAATTACAAGCCCTGTAATTAATCAATAAATAGTAACTATTAGAATCTATGATGGAACAATTAAGATGCTATAACTGACTAATTCCTATGCAAGTTCATGGAAATAGATCACCTTCCTGTAAAAAATACACTTTTTAGAAAATATTAGTTTACTATTAAACTATGCAAAATTAATGTCATTAATATACAGTATGAATGATGTACTATTACTATTGCAGTAATATAAATAGATTCTACTTCTCAAATAAAATTATAACTTTTATTTGGCAGGAGGAAAGAAATCAGAAAGGCCTGGACTCAACACAAATTTTCCAGCTGTTTCCTCAGACGTATTAAATATGCATGTTTTTATTTATGTCACAATTTGCATTTTGCATCTTGCATGAATGTGGAGATCCAGTGATCAGTCTACCTTTGCAATCTAAGCACAAAGTGGCACTTTGTGGGGAAAATGTTTCTGATTAGGGAAGTTTAGAGTGCCACATAGTAAAGCAGGAGGTGGCAACCTACAACATACAAGTTGCAGGTAGTCGAAATATATTTATGTGTCTTCCTGAGATTGTACCAATTGACATTTGGTACTGCTCACATAGGTAAATATTTCTATTGATTTTCAAATAAAAATACATTTACAAAAATAGACAGATCTCTGGATGGATAGATGGATGGATGGATAAATATAGATAGATAGATAGATAGATAGATAGATAGAT